TTCAGCAGCGTATGGACGCTCTGCGGAATACTGACGCGTTAATCGCCAAAGTGAAGAGAACCAGAGATGGAAATACGTACCGTCGTAATAAGAGCAAAACCTTCTTTTCCCCTGTATCTTCACACAGCGCCATGTTTCAACCATCACCGGGCATCATCAGGAGTGGAACAACTTGGTTTAACCTCTTCTTTTGGCTTGAAACAAGATGAAATAAAGACAACATTCCATACAAATGCTCTCAGATGACTACACCATGTTCAAAGTGTTTAGCACTAGCATGTTACAAAATGCTTCAATTAACCACTATCAACAGAAGCAAACCACTCATTTGCCTTGTGCCACTACTTAGTACTCTAAAGAATTCCACATTCAACAATGGCTACATGAAACAAGTCAAGTAGCAAAAAAAAGTTTTTTTGTTTTGTTTTTTTTGGAATAAAGTCAAAACAGCTGTACATCTAGCACATACTTCAAAGTCCTCACCCCAATCTCCTCTCCCTCCTTCTCCTAATCTTCTGCAAATTCAAATGAAGTAAATGCAATAACTCTACTTGTTCTGTCTGTAGTCAAACTTGTCTGTACTGGATTGGTCCAGTTGATGTGCCACTAACTCTTTAGTCAATAGTTGTGAAAAGATTAAATCCATTTCTTTTCATACCTTTTAAAAGTGATGTTGAATCAGCTCCACACTGAAGGACCACTGCGCTCGGCTGGTACATCTCCATTACTTTGGCCATGATCTAAAACCAAGACGCACATTTATTTAAAAAAAAGATGTCCACAGAAGCTGTGAATACTAACTTAATTGCACTCACAGTAAAACTCTTACCGGTTTAAAGCTGGCTTCGTGGGTAATTCACTGCGTAGTATTTGCTCTTTCCAGCCGCCGATGTCCTGTAAACATTTCTTAATACTCGGTAAATGCTGTCCAAAAGTTTCATTTCCGGTGACAAAAAAAAACTTGACATGGTTCTATTCTTACTTGAGCAACTCAAATGACCAAGACGATGGTGTTCACGTAACAAAAACCAGATGCTTCGGACTTCTTGGCGTCGTGGAGTCCTCCGGTCTGCTGCTATTCCTGAAAAGATGTACTTAACACACTGACTGAAGCGATACGTGCAGTCAGAATTACTTAGGAATGTGCAAACCGTGCGGCTCTAACAGGCTACTGTTTAGCACGCTAACCGGCTTCCCCATTCCGCGGGTCAGCAGCGTACGGACGCCCCGCGGGATACCGACGCGTCACCAAGCTAAATAAAAATATACTAAGTATAAAAAAATAACTAAAAAAAAATCTGTTAATGACAGTAGCGCAGCAATCAAGTTACACAAAGATTAAACTACATAACTAAGTTAAAAAATGAACTAAAAAAGCTAAAACTATATATTAAGTACAAAAAAAGAACTAAAAACATAAGTAAAAAAAAATTCTGTTAATGACAATAGCAATCAAGTTACACATAGTCATTACAATGTCCAGCAAAAGTGATCTGACAATAAATGTACTGAATTATGGTGCAAATACTGATCGCATTAAATGTTACAAAAAATGGCCAAGAAACAAAGCAGCAACACATTGTTTGTGTCTATCTGTGACAATACCAAGGATACATTTTAGTTTTGGGAACTGACTTCTTTTGTCTGCAGCTTCATTACTTTTACTGTCGAGAAATATGATTGCTGCAGAAAACTCCTTTTGCTGCTAAAGGGAAAAAGGCGCAACTGGCAGCAAGCAAGACTATAGTCTTAGTATCACGAAAAATGCAAAAAATTATCTGCCCCAAAACATGCTGCCAAGTGAATTTACAAATATGAAGGATTACAGAAAGTCCTTCCATTCAACCAAAGTCTGTCTAGGTGCTGGACAGAACCATTTGCCTCTGTGCTGCATATGGCCAGGAACTTTGGTTTTACTTTTTCCGTGCAGCTTACAGATGTAGGTGTAATTGTCTTTTTGATGCCTGTTTTTTGGTTGGTCCCCTCTTCCCTTTGCTCCTTATCCTTCAGAGCTGCCGTTTTCATTCTCCACTCCCGATGCCTGTTGAATGCTTGAGCCGATGAGTAGGAGGAGGAAACATGTGCAGGTTCTGTTACATTTAACTGTTACATTTAAATGTTAGATTCATCATAGAATTTTTAATCCTGAGATAAAGTGAGGTGCACTTCAACTCACCTGGTCTCAAACTTGCCGATCCTGGTGGAAGCTGTGGTCACTTCCATGGCCTCCTGCTCACCTCCCATAAGCACCTACAACACACACACAATTGCAAGGTTCAAGGTCACTGTTGATCTACTAGGATACACATTGCACACATTGTGTCATTTACACACTACGTGCAGCAGTGATCGTCAACAGGCAGTCCACGTCATGGATTCCAAAACAAACATTAAATAATAATTTCATTTTTACTCCACTCTATCTGGGTGGCTGACGTAGAGCCTTTAACAGCCTCACACTGTCAGCTTTGAACTAAGCAAACTTTTGTTCAAGCAGTCAAGTCACTTTATTGGACTGCAATCTGTCAACATTAAAAAGTAACACAAACCCATAACTGTCAGTTCATTTCAACTGTACCACTGATTTCTCCTGAGATGTCCTAAGATGAATCCACAATGCAGTGGTGTTCAATTATTCTCAGTTACATTTTTTGTTTTCCAGAACAATCTCAAGTGTGTGATATAAAAAACATGTAACGTGACTTTTGAATTGTTTAAGAGTAACATCAGTGTGTTCCCATTTACCTGTTTGCCACCCGGTATCCACCACAGGACAACGCTTGTCCCCGACCTCACTGTAGTACCACTGCCATGCTTCAGTGTTGATTGGCTCACCCACTGTCGGAACACTAGAACAGAGTCCCTCATGAAACGTTGGTTTGCTCTGGTTATGTCAATGCAAATATGTTCACTTGAAATAAAAGAAAAAACTGTATACATACATATTTATATATTTTATTAAAGAGGTTTTTTATAGAAGATGACGCTCCACCGTAACAGGAGTGCAGTATTAAAAATATTTTTTCAAAATTAAAAAAATGAAATGAAAAAATGCATTTTTCAAAGAGGCCATTACTAAGAACTGGCTCAATTTTAAAGCAGTTATAAAGTGTGGCTGACAATGGTAGATGAAATACAAGAAATAGAAAAGTTAACACTCTTCTCTGTTTAAAGGCTGTTTGTGTATTATTGCTTTCACTTTGGTGCTATTATTTATCCATGTAACTGTATGATAAATGATAAACCTAAATAAAAAATTACAAAAAATCCACTTTCTCATAAATCATTCTTTCAATGTTAAAATGTTAGAAATTATCAAAGTGACATTTATGTTTAATTTCCAATTAACCACATAATTTTCAAAAATTGGGCAAAAACACGTTATACTATGTTGTTTATGAATAAAACATGAAATATGACCTCATGCAAAGCAGTAAAATTGAAAAATAAAAAATAAAAAACTGCCCCCCAAAACAAATCCAAAAAAAATTAAAACAACACAAAATATTTTGTAAAGAAAAAAACTATTTTAAAATACAAGTTTATACCTTAAAATGTGAAAGCAAATCAACTTTATTGGAATATACCATACATATATATAAAATTAAATTACAGTTCTCTCAGAACCAAGGTGCAAGCAGGCAAAAAATAATAAAAACAGTTAATTAAAATATAAAAAAAAGACAAATGAAAAGCCAATGGCGTTTATAACAAAATAAGATAATACAATAAAACAGGCCATTATTGCTTAGAGTGAGGTAGTGTGGTTTAGATGTGCCAAAACTATTTGATCTGAAAGGGCCTCAAATCATCGTCATTGTGCCATACTAAAAAACTTTATATTTTATGATGATATGTATACATATATAATGTGACTTTCTTGGAAAAATGCAAAAACCACAAAGTAATCCAAGAATACATGTGTATCCTCTAAGATTTGGCACCGTGTAAGTAATCAGTATTATTTTAATAATAAATAAAAAATAATAAAGTTTAAAAAAATGGAAAAAGTTTTTTTTTTAATTCCTGACACTTCAGGGCTGGTATTGCGACCAATTTCCTAAATTGATTTGATTTAATTCACATGGTTCTGATACCATTACCCACAATTAATCTGCTCTAGTCAATCTGCTCTTCATTAAAAATGCTTCTATGGCAT